GATAGGGATAGGGATAGGGATAGGGATAGGGATAGGGATAGGGATAGGGATAGGGATAGGGATAGGGATAGGGATAGAAATAGAAATAGAAATAGAAAAGAATAATTCCCATATAATATAACAGCGTCAATCTGCATTTCATTTCTGCCCATTCTAATATTTTCCTAATCACATTCTTCTCAGTAGGAATCTCTTCATTTTCCCAATCCCAGCTGCTGTTATGACATGAATAATCAGATATACATTTTCTTTACTATAAGTTTCTGGTAAAATCCCCAAGAGGAATATTTCAGGTTTTAACTCAATATATTGTTGTATCATCTTTTCCAACCACGTATGTATTTTAGCCCAATATTTTTTGGCTTTGACGCATATCCACCACATATGTTCGTACGAGCCAGGTGTCTGGTGACATTTCCAACGTTTCGCTGGTTTATTTGAATATTTTCTCCATTCTTGTCAGCGGCAAATGACATCTATAAAACATCTTATAGAAGTCCTCTTTATACACAGTTGACATTGTTCATTTATAATTTCTAAGCAATAGTTGCTGCCATTTAGCTAGTTCTAGTGTATAACCATTTTTTTTCCTCAGGCAATCATTGTTCCCTTAATTTGTTCTTCTTCTTATTTAATACTTAACACATAGCTATACAGCTTTTTTTTAAATCATCCTCTCTTCTGTTCCTGTTAATATTTTATCTACCATTCTACTTTCCTTAGGTGTTAAACTTTGCTGCATGGAGTTTTGAAATATCCTGTCTTGAATGGATTTCTGCTTGCAGGATATGCTTTGCTTATGAATAGAGCCATCTAGAGAGTTGGCTTCTCCTTTCAATAAGTTCTTTATCTCCCCAAATGCTGGCATCTGCTGTGGGCTATTAAGAAAAAAGATTGGGAGGCTGCTTTCTGCCTCTAAAAGGGTGCTTCTCCATTTCTCCCTTAGGGAAATATAATGTTCTCCCTTTTCTAATATTTCCCAAAATGTTTCATTTTTCAGGATGGGTTCCCCCCCACACACAATTGAAAAAATAAACAGACTAGTCCCCACAAACCTGATTTCACTGTCTCCCGAAAGGATAAAATTGTAGGCCAGCTGCAATTTTTGAGGGGTGATTGGGTGGTTGAGGAGAAGCTGTCTCACAATGATGGACAACGCTGAGAAATGAGGAAAAAGTGCAAAGAAGAGCAATTAAGATGATTAAAGGCCTGGAGACTAAAACATATGAAGAACGGTTGCAGGATTTGGGAGTGCCTAGTCTAGAGAAAGGAGGAAATGATAGCAGTATTCCAGTATTTGAGAAGCTCGCTCCTTCCTTCCTTCCTTCCTTCCTTCCTTCCTTCCTTCCTTCCTTCCTTCCTTCCTTCCTTCCTTCCTTCCTTCCCTTCCTNAGTGGGGAGGGAATGGGGATTTTGCAATAACCTTCCCCTAGAGTGCGTTGTGAATGGAGATTTTACAGTATCCTTCCTCTGCCACACCCACCAAGCCATGCCACGCCCACCAAACCATGCCCACAGAACTGGCAGTAATAATTTTGGATTCCCACCATTGGTTCAAACTCCACTTTTATCCTGCTATCTCACTGAAAGAAGTTGCTTTAGCTACTATTGGCAAGGAGGGCAATGGAAAACCAACTCCCTTTGAAGCAGAATATAATTGGGAGGTACCTTGGAGATATACTAGTCCAGCCCACTACCCAGGCAGGAGATCCTGTACCTTTTCAGACAAGTGACCGTCCAGTCTGTTCTTGAAAACCTCCAGTGATGAAGCATCAACAATGTCTCAAGGCAAGCTGCTCCATTGGTTAATTGTCCTCACTGTTAGGTTGCTTCTCCTCAATTCCAGGTTGCTTCTCTCCTTGATTAGTTTCCATCCATTGCTTTCTCTCCTGCCCTCTGGTGCTTCAGAAAATAAATTGAGCCCCTCTTCTTCGTGGCAGCCTCATTTGACTTGATTCAAAAATGGTTTGAATCAAATCCTCTTTGTCCAAGAGAATGGAAGGAACATTTAATAAAAAGCCTGGACAAACTAGTAGAAATAACTGGATGGAGGTGGATAGATATGCTTCCCATCAGAAGCTCACCTTCAAAGAGAAACTAAAGATGTCTCCCTGTGAGGTTGTCTGTGGGGGACCCATGGATTTAGACTTTGAATTAATTCCCATCCCACAAGGTGTTCTTCATCCTGACCCATGGTCAAGTTCCTTATTCCTATACAGTCCTTTCAATGGGAGCAGCACCTGACCCAAGCAGGAGTCAGACTTCATCAGGACCAGAAAAGGATACCTGACATGGCAGCCTATGAGCAGCTGCAAACAGGAGATTGGGGACATCACAATGTGTATCAGAGAAAGAAGAGTCTGTCTGCAAGGTGGAAAGGCCCATATCTGGTGCTATTAGTTGTACTTAGCAGTGCCAAGTTTGAAGGCCTGACCTTCAGAGTTCATCTGAGTCACCTACGGAGCCCTCCAGCTCCAGAAAATGCAGACCAACAAAGGCATTGATCCAGGTTCCCAGGAAGTGAGTAAAAGAATGAAGAAGGTGAAGCTTTAACTACGAAATCTTTTTTATTATTATATTTTTCTTTTTTGAATAGACACAAACAAACAAGACACAACAAACACCATAAAAACATGTTCCATTACAAATTATAAAAAATGTGTCAATTGGTTACAAAGAACTTTCGTGCATCCCTTCCACAGTCATCACCTATAATCCATATCAAATTATATATTTTACATCAAATAAATAATATAAATATAAATAATATAAATATAAATATAAATAATATAAATATAAATATAAATAATATAAATATAAATATAAATAATATAAATATAAATATAAATAATATAAATATAAATA